AGTTTTCGTCTGTTTTAATTAACTCATTTATTATTGAAAGTTTTGAACAATCAAATTGGCCCCTTTTTATTATGATAAATAATGCTAAGTTGCTTGAAGCTGTCCTCTGTTAGTGCCCCCTATACACCTTTAATATATACTTATCAAAGACTGGAATTTAAAAAAAAAGAAGAAGAAACGAATTAATGAACTTAAACAATCGTCACTCTTTTTTTCAAGACCCTTTAATTTTCCCTTAATTTATTTTATCAAAACCTTCAATATTTAAAACGTCAATATCTCAGGTCCTACAGTGACTTTATCATTAAAAAGTTATCAAACCAGGATCTGTTATTTATCATACCGACTATTTGAAGGAATATTGATCAATCTTTACACTTTTTTCAAAGTGCGTTAATATGGTCGATATTAACGCACTTTGAAAAAAATTTATTTTTTTCAAAGTGCGTTAGCTTGGTCCCAAATTTTAACGCACTTTGAAATTTTTTTTCAAAGTGCGTAATTTTTCAAAGTGCGTTGTAACAGTCCATCCCTAGATGCATCATCCATGCAAGTTTGGTCCAAATAGGGCTTATGGTTCCTTAGGAATCGACCTGCTCTAAAAACTTCAACCTGGTCACTCATCTGGAAAATGTCGGTCACATCCAGCATCCGAAGTAAGTCTGGTAGTGTCCATCCCTAGATGAACCATAGCTCTCATCAATATCTATCAGCATATGAAGTTTGATGAAAATATCTTTGATAGTTTCTTTGAAACTTAGCTTTGAACAGAGCTAATCGCAAAGTGTGATGGAAGACAGAAGGACGGAAGACGGACATGACAAACACTATATGCCCCGGCCATATTCATGGCGGGGCATAAAAATCAATTCTTTAAAAGTCTTTCAATAAATCTTCATTTTTTTAATATGTGTAGAAATTGTTCTAAAATTTACTTGATGCCTAAAATTATCATTCCTATCATAAAACAGACAGGGAGTATTGGGGAGTAGGGTGAACATTTTTTTGATGAGGTGTGAAATAATTTTTCTGGCTGATACAAATGATACTATACATATATGCCTGTATATATATGTATATTCTTGCCTTTTAATAGTTAATTTTTTTTTATTTCTTCAGGTTATTGTTTATTTCTTCCTCAAATGGACTTAACTTCTCCCATAGTTTTATTCATTACATCTGATGCATAAGCAACCCTTTTCTGAAGAATGATACTGTAAGCTACAACAGAGACCTAAACAATGTCGCTGGCAATATGCAATAGCTACCACGGGCAGTTTAAAACCTGGGGGAGGAAAATAATTTACAGACAGATACTTTTGAAACGAATACATAATTATCTCACCAGCATGTCATTGCGCAACAAAGTCGTCAGCATTTTATTTATCCTTTGAACGGATGAAACGTTTTGAATGGCACTCTTATCGATGAATTTTACACTAAACCAAGCTATCCTCTCAGATCTAGCTTTATTTACCCGCCGTTTCATCGTAAAACCGAAAGTGCGAGTTCGTAAATTTGAAATCTTGATCCCGACTCAAATTTGACATGGGAAAAAATTTTTTAAAAATTTTTTTTCTGAAAATTCAAAACCTTGATCGGAGGGTTTGTAAAACTGAAAATAAAATAAATCCTTGCCTTAAATATGTTATTAGATCATTAGCACATTAACAAGGAGCAAAGGATAAGATATTCAAAGAATTCATGCATTTCACTATATAATTACTGGAGCCCCACCCTGAAACAAGAACCCGACCCTGGGGCCATAAAATTCACAATTTTGGTAGAGGCATTCTTGCTCATCATAACTATGTACTTAGTTAGTTTATTTAATACCCAGGAGCAGAGAAGAAGATTTTCAAAGAATTCATGTATTTTCACTATATTATCAATAGAGCCCCGCCCTAACACCAGAAACCCTGACCCTGGGGCCATAAAATTCACAATTTTGGTAGAGGTACTCTTGCTCATCATAACTATGTACTTAGTTGGTTTAGTTAATACCCAGGAGCAGAGAAGAAGATTTTCAAAGAAATAATGCATCTTCACTACCTACTTATTTAGCCCCGCCCTAGCACTAGAACCCCTCTCCCAAGGGCCATGAATTTCACAATTTTGATAGAGGACTCATTGCTGATTACAATCATGCAAACAGTTTGACTGCTTGATGTCCAGGAGTAAAAAAGAAGATTTTTAAAGATTTTATTAATTTTAGTGGTTTTGGCCCCACCCCTCAGGTCCCAGGGACGCAGGGACCATGAAATTCACAATTTTTGTTCCCCTTCACCCACAGATGCTGTATACAAAATTTGGTTGGAAATTGGTTACGGGGGTTTCAGAGAAGAAGCTGAAAATGTTCAAATGTTAACACACGACGGTTTGAGCTGAAACTGTTCCCTTTTATCTCCGAAAGTTTCATAAAGATCCATTGAACCGTTACTGAGATATTGTTGAAGGAAAAAAAGTAATATAATAAGAAAAAGAAACTTTACAATAAAAGAAAGGTCTACCACTGAAGACGGAAGACCCTAATAAAAATAGTGGAAAAGAAACCTACGAATAAGAGTAAGGCCAAATAAAATTGAAATCTTGGTTCTCAGGCCCGCCCGCATCTGTTTTGAGGTAACCGCATTGCTGATTTTATTGTTTTTTTTTATAAAATAAAAAGTTAATAAATTAACTCTAAAGCGCTGTACAAAAAAAATTTCCGACATAATTTGTTTTGTAATGCATATATAAAATATTAACACATGTTCAATTTAAGTGTTGGAAATTTTAATATTAAAATATGAAAATACATTCAAAATACATTACCACCATATTTAAACGTTGTTAAGCATATTTTGTGATAAAGCAGTAATTTTGACCAGAAATGGAAAGTAAATCTGTAATTTAAAAAATTATCTTTATGTCTTTAAGAAAATTCGGAAATTAAAAATTAAAAAAATACCTCCCTCATCTAATTTTTTGCCATTTAAATGAAAAATAAAATGCCGCCCTCCCGCATCTGTTTTGGAGAAAGTTGGCCTGAGAACCAAGGAATATAAATTTACATAGCAAAATAAATCATTTTTACATTAAACTTACTTCTTATAAGACGGAATTTTTATTCCTGTCAATAAAAGCCTGAAAAAGAAACTGCAAAATAAATCTGTGTCTTTCCGCTGCAATATTCAGAAGACCTAAATAAGAAACAACAGAATAACTATAAGGTCTTCCATGAAGATGAAAGACCTTAATAATAATAATTTATGAATTCATAAAGTGCTAAATATTAATAAATTAACTCTAAAGCGCTGTACAATAAAACACATATAAACATAATTTAAAAGCTATGAATGCATATATAAAATATTAACACATGTTCATGTAAGTGTTGGAAATTATAATATTAAAATATGAAAATAACATACAAAATACAATTACGCCATAAATAAAACTCAATAAAGGAACATTTTTTGTGATTTGATGCTAAAAGTTGAGCACCAGATAATTAAAAAGCTATTTTGTAAAAATGCGTCTTTAATTGTCTTTTGAAAATGTCCAGGGACTGGGACTGTTTTATGTCATTATGAATGTCGTTCCACAAAAATGCTGCTGCCCAACCAAGTCGACGTTCCCCATATGTCTTCGCAGTGATATAGTGGGCTTGTTTTCCATTATAAAATCTTTGATATAACATGGAGCTAAACCGTGTAAGGATTGGTAAACATATGTCAAGATTTTATATTCTGGAGGAAAAGAAACGGGTACATGTAGCCAATGAAGATCAGCTAGGATAGGCGTAAAATGCTCCCGTTTCGATGATCTTGTAACTAAGCGAACTGGACTTTTTGAATCTGTTCTACTATGGCCTTTGACACTCCATAAAGAAGGCAGTTCCCATAGTCCAATCTGGCTGTGATGACGGCTTTCACCATGGTCTTGCAGGCGCCGTATATGCCCAATATTGCTTATTTGGAAATAGCATGACTTGATGACCGAGGCTAAGTGGAAAAAGAAACCTAGATTTTTCACACATGGCACCCTTTCAATATTATTTTAGTTGTTATTTTGGCAGATACTTCTGGTGTTGCTTTGTGGTAAAGATTATTATATCGGTATTTTCTTGGTTTAGTTTGAGTAGATTTGATGTCATCCATGAACCAATTTCACTAAGACATGCTTCGAGTCGAGAGAAATAATTGTTCCAATTTCAAGTGGTCCTATAATCATGTAGATTTGTGTATCATCTGCATAGCAGTGATATATCATTCAATGTCTATGGTATATGATGCCAATGGGTTTGGAGAAGAGGCAATTTCGGTCCAAGTACAGATCCTTGGGGGACACCAAAAGGCAGCTGTCTGTAGACTCTGATCGGATGGATTCAATTGTGACACATTGTTTTCTGTTCATGTAAGACTTGATCCACTCAAGAGCACCATCACAGAATCCTAAAGACAGTTATGAGTTGGAACAGTATATTATGATCAATAACATCAAAAGCAGTGGATAAATCCAGAAGGACAAGGATTGCTAAAGATTGTTGGTCCAGAGCTGTCACAATATCATTGTGGACCTTGATGAGGGCCGTTTCCATGGAGTGCCTCGGAAGATATGCCAACTGAAGTGGATCAAAAAGAAAACTCGCATCCAAGTGGGCGTCAATCCAACAAGCCACATTTTTCTCCAATAGTTTTGAGAGTCAAGTTTGATAAGTGTCGATAGTTTTTCAACACTTCCTGATCTAGTCCAGGTTTCTTAAGAAGCAGATGAACTATGGCCTCCTTCCATGCAGACGGGAAAATTCCCTGATAAAGAGATGCATTTACCATGTCTGTGACAAGTGGTATTAGTGGATCCAAGAACTTTTTCAGTAGCTTTGTTGGAATTGGATCCAGTTCACATGATTTACTGTGTGCCTTCATCATTAGCGATCGCACTTCATCTTCAGTGGAACATTCAAAAGCAACTAATAGAGGTCCATTATAGTGTATGTCTATATCTAAATAGCTGTCTTCTTTTTCTTTTTTTGTTTATATTTTTCTTTTGCCGAGATTCATTTATGCAGGTTCACCTTGAAGTCAAAATCAAAATCAATTTCCCGAAGCTCTGCATAGACTGATCTGCCTTTGGTAGTCCTTAACCTAGCTGTGTGTATGTCTTTCTCTTTCCATACACTTTACATTTATAAGGTTTATCTTATGCATGTGTCCTCATGTGTTTCTCAAGTTACCTGAGTCCTTAAACGCCTTCTCACACACATCACATTGATAAGGCTTTTCACCTGAATGTATCCTCATGTGACTCGGTAATTTCTGTGACTGATTGAAAGCCTTCCCACACACATCACATTTATATGGTTTATCTCCTGTATGAGTGTTCCTGTGATTCTGTAACTGACATGACTGTTTGAATGCCTTCCCACACACATCACATTTATAAGGTTTTTCACCTGTATGAGTCCTCATGTGTTTCTGTAAGTCACCTGATTGCTTAAATGCCTTTCCACACACATCACATTTATACGGTTTATCTCCTGTATGTATCCTCCTGTGATTCTGTAACTGACTTGACTGTTTGAATGTCTTCCCACACACATCACATTTATAAGGTTTTTCACCTGTATGTATCCTCCTGTGTTTCTGTAGGTCACTTGAATGAGAGACTGCCTTCCCACACACATCACATGTATATGGTTTATCACCTGTATGTGTCCTCATGTGATTCTGTAAGGTGTGTGACTGGTTGAAAGCCTTACCACACAATTCACATTTATAAGGTTTTTCACCTGTATGTGTCCTCATGTGTATTTTTATGCTAGTAGATCTGCTGAATGCTTTTCCACATACAACACATTCAAAAGGTTTTTCACCTGTATGTATCATCATATGGTCTTGTAAGGCGTTTGCTTCAGAAAAAGCCCTTTCACACACATCACATTTGTAAGGTTTTTCACCAGTATGTGTCCTCATGTGCCTCTGTAAGCTCTGTGAATGGCAGAAAGCCTTCCCACACACATCACATTTATAAGGTTTTTCACCAGTATGTGTCCTCGTGTGAATCTGTAAGGTGTGTGACTGGTTATAAGCCTTCCCACACACATCACATTTGTATGGTTTTTCACCAGTATGTGTCCTCTTGTGCCTCTGTAAGGCATTTGATTTGTTGAATGCTTTCCCACACACATCACATTTATAATGTGTATCACCTGTATGAATATTTATGTGCTCCTGTAGGTGATGCGATAGTGTTAATGCCTTCCCACAAACATCGCATTTATAAGGTTTTTCACCAGTACGTGTCCTCATGTGACTCTGTAGATTTCCTGGCCAGTTGAAAGCCTCTTTACACACTTCACATTTATGAGGCTTATCAGCTCTATGTGTCCTCATGTGGTTCTGTAAGCGTTGTGACTGGCTGAATGTCTTCTGAAATACATAACATTTATAAAGTGTTTTATCTGTGCATGTCCTCATATTTCTCTGTTAGATACCTTTTTGTTTAAACTTTATTATGTTCCCCAAACGAAGTTGGGGAACATATTGTTTTTACTCTGTTTCTTATTATTATGTTCCCCAAACGAAGTTTTTACTCTGTTTCTTATTATTATTCTGGTCCGGACTTTTTTGTCCGCGAGTGTTCTCAGAAACTGTTCACCCAACTGAGCTAAAACCTTTTTAGGGTTAATAGGTGTGTAGTGTAGGTGTGCGGAACGAAGGTCATTTTGCGCGCATACGCCTGCACGTGCGTGCGCGTGAAGTGAGTGAAATGACTGATATACTTATTATAGTTATAACTTTTACATTTTTTGATGGAATGATTTGAAACTCATTATATAAGGATATATTAATAGTGTAGATAATATGACACTGTCAAATTAGCACGAACTCACGGGCATGCACGTGCGCTTTGCTCTGATTGGCTGAAAGAAAAATCTCAATATCTTTTCTGTTTTTCGAGGAAATGCTTTGAAATTTAAAACATACTTTAGGATGCCCTATGATATGATATATAATAATTGTCATGAAAGCACGTGCATGCACGTGCGCTGCAATCTGATTGGCTTAACTCCCTTGTTTTTCACACACATGGGATCATAGACAGACATTATAACTCCTAGAAGAAGATATTGTCATCATGAACCTTGCACGTGCATGAACGTGCGCTTCGCTCTGATTGGCTGAAACAATATTCTCAATATCTTTTTTGTTTTTTGACGAAATGCTTTGAAATTTAAAACATAGGCATGCTTTAGGATATCCTACAATATGATTTATAATAATTTTCATAAAATCACGCGCATGCACGTGCGCTGCAATCTGATTGGCTTAAATTTTTAATGGCTATAACTCCCTTGGTTTTCAACCAAACAGGACGGGATTCAGAACATAGATAAACATAATAGACTCCTACAAAAGGGTATGGTCATCATGCACATGCATACACGTGCGTGCACATGAAATGAGTAAAATTACAAATACACTAGATTAAACATATTTTTGGATTAAATGCTGTAATATTTAGTATATTAAAATATATAAATCATGTAGACAAAATGATATGGTCATTAGCACATGCATTCAAATGCGCATGCGTGCAATGCTGAAACTGAATACTTTTGGATTTATCTTTTTTAAAGTCTAAAATGTATCGCGTATATCTTATTTAATGTAACTTTCTGAGAATACGGTTCCCGTTACAATCAGCCCTAGTTATTATTATTATTATTATTATTATTTTTCTTCTTCTTCCTGGGTACTTTTTTGTCCGGGAATGATCTTGTAAACTATTCGTCCGATGTAGGTAAAACCTTTGTAGGGTCAGTAGACATGTTATGTAGATTTGCGGAATCAAGGTCATTTTGCGCGCACGTGCTTGCAAGAGCGTGCACGTGCAACACGTGAAATGACTGATTTAATTGATATAGGCGTAACTTTTTACATTTTTGATGAAATGCTTTAAAACTCATAATATAAGGATATATTAGTAGCATAGACAATATCACATGATCAAAATAGCAAGATCTCACGCGCATGCACGTGCGCTTGGCTCTGATTGGCTGTCTCAATATCTTTCTTGTTTTTTGACAAAATCCTTTGAAATTTTGAACATAGCCATGCATTAGGATATCCTACAACATAACATATAGCAATTATCATAAAAGCACGTGCATGCACGTGCGCTGCAATCTGATTGGCTGAAACTTTAAATACCTATAACTCCCTTGGTTTACAACCAAACGGGGTGGGATTTGGAACATAGATAGATATAATGGACTTCTACAAGAAGGTATGGTCACCATGCACATACATGCACATGCGTGTACATGCTCTGCAATCTGATTGGCTGAAACTTTAAATAGCTATAACTCCCTTGGTTTTCAACCAAACAGGATGGGATTTAGAACATAGATAGATATAATAAACTTCTACAAAAAGGTATTGTCACCATACACATGCATACACGTGCGTGTACGTGCGCTGTAATCTGATTGGCTGAAACTTTAAACAGCTATAACTCCCTTGGTTTACAACCAAACTGGGTGGGATTTAGAACATAGATAGATGTAGTGGACTTCTACAAGACGATATGGTCACCATGCTCATGTATGCACGTGCGTGCACGTGAAATGAGTTAAAACAAAAATGCACTTGAATGAGCGTATTTTTTCATTCTTTCGGATTAAAAACTTTAATATTTAGTATATCAAAATATATAGATTGTGTAGACAAGATGATATGGTCATTACTCACATGCATTCACATGTGCACGCGTGCAATGCTAAAATTTGAATGAACTTGGCATTGTTACAGTCTCAAATGCATAGATTTTGTCCTATTTAATGAAGCGTACAGGGAATATGGCACCAAAAGGGAGTTGGGGAGCGTTTGGGGAACATCTGTAACGGTCCCCGTTACAATTAGCACTAGTTTCACATGCATCACAACAATAAGATACATTACCAGTTTGTGTCGTCATGTAGATAGCAAAGTCATCTGATGCAGACAATGCCTTCCCACAAAATTCACACTTAAAACTTTCCTCCCTGGTTTGAGACCTTATTTGTCTTCGTAATTGACCTGAACTAGTGGAATCTTTCCAACTGTTACACTTTAATGGCTTTTTACTTACATGTGTGTTGATGTGTCTTTCTGAATTTCCAGTTTGATCTTCATCTGAACAATACTTCTCTAATTTTTCAGTATCTTTCTGAATATTTGAATGGGGATCAAAATCGCTCCTTTCCTTCTGCAAATATGAAATAGAAATCAGTTTTAATGCTCCATAGGACATCATTCTGTTCATTTTTAATGTAAGGATAAAAAAAAAGTTCAACACATAAAAATAAAGTTGTATTGATTCAAGGTTAAAGGCTTTTTATTTTAAGGAGGCTAGGTGGTCAACAAATAATTTTTTTTTAACCACCAGATAATTAACTTAAATTTAAGGATATGGAATCTTAAGCTCTCAACTATCATATTAAATCTTTATATGGAGCTCTTCTTCTAAAGGAGATCAAAATAGTCTAAAAATGGCCATGACCACCCAGCCTTTTTTAGAAAGGGTCAAAGTGCAAGGGCCAATAATGACCCCTCTAGCCCTGTGAATATCTGAAAATCGAAACTGCTCAGATTTGGTTAAAAAGGCTGTATTTATGACTCAGCCCCTTTTTAAGTACGGTACGCATCTATAAAACACGACGTAACTTTCTCTCTAATCATATCAATGCATTACGTCATAACCATATGTGTCTTAATGTGTCTGTGTAAAACAAAGTAATTTCAATCATATTTATTGATTCCCTGTGTTTTAATTGGATGAGAACAAATTCAAGAAAAAGTTTACACATCGATGAATTTTTCAATCAGAACTACTTTGTTGACCTAGCTAGCTTCTAGGCTGTTGTAAAACTATGTAAACAGATACTTCTAGTCCGTTTTAGCTAAATTATGATTACAAGAAACTTGAAATTAAAAAAACAGGAGATAAACAGGACTGACAGACAGGAATATTATGTTTATGTCACTGTCGGATCACGAGTGTGAATTTCATGCTGTCATTTTCTCGACATTCCATATCAGCTCAGTTGGTATCCTTGTGAAAGGGAAAAGAAGCATTCCCCAGACTCTTGCCTTATCAGCATTAAATTCATATATTTACATCCTACAGATCCCATATTCTCCCTAAATCTTTGAACGAACCTGAGCAAATCGAGGACATCGTCGGTCTGCAACTTTCACTATGTGCGTTGTCGTTAATGTCAACATGGCCATAGTCAAGGACGAATTATTCTGGAGAATAGGCATATTTACGATATTTGTTGACGTAAACAACATTCAATGATTTTTTATAAGTTTATTTATTAATTGTTTTGACATTATCAATATTTATCTCATATACATTTCTTTGCGCATAAAGTATTCCTACGTCGTACAAAATAACGGATTGTATGGCAGCCTCAAAGAGAAATAATTTTAATAATTCGTAATTGGAATTATAAGAATTAAACGTTCTTTTTTTTCAGAATTTATCGATGTGTAAACTTTGCCTTTTATCTCACAAACTTTACATCAAAGTACTTCGCATTTTTATTTAGTTTGTGAGTAAAAAGGCAGAGTTTACATATCGATAAATTCCAAAAAAAGAACGTTTTTTTTCCTATAATAAAATCTGGACTAAAATTACATGCTATAAAAATACTCCATAACACCTTAGCTATGGCAAACTATTACTAAAGTCATAATGGTCATTACATTACAAAACAACAACAACAAAAAAACCGAACACAAATGAATAACAGAATTTATTCATGTTTATCATGTTCATTGTTTATTTCAACAGTACTTAAAAATATGAATGTGTTAAATAAATGTACTAGGGGCATTTCAAAAGTTCTGAAAACTGTTAAATTACAAACTCACCGCTAAGTAAAAACTATTGAGTTTGATATCATTGAAACGATAAGAAAGATACACATATTGTGATGTCCCGTTTATAAATTTTAAGATGAAATCACTCTGAAAATGACGTCAGAATTCCACTGGTTGTTTTGAATACTGACCATAAAAATGACGAGAAAAAAAAAAAAAAACACTTTGGTCGAATTAAAATTTTAAAGACAATTTACCTTTTGCTCATTACTCGGACACAAACTAACGGACGCAAATGCCAGTTGGTGGAATGTTTTTATTGACTACAATCTATCATATGGTGTTAGTTTTGAAAATCTCCTCGTTCCGAAATGGATTAAGCGAGAGTCAAACTTACCATGTATTTATTGAATCTCGCTCAAAATATTGCATATATACCGAACTGTGAGAAAAAGAAAAAGTTGACAATCAAAGATGAATAGGCGATCGTGTTACAAAATTTGATAGCATAAATTTGTCGGGTGTTCTTTGTATGAAATCGATGAAGGCTCAAGAAAAGTTTAGTTAAGTGTCCCCCATATTTTCTTGTAAAATCCAAAATGGCGCCGACGCAGTTGTAACCTCATCTCTCTCAACATATCCGAAAATTTTAATGCATGGAAAATAAATAAGATTTTGACATGTCTGTTCAACTTTCATTCCTTTTTTGGAGTCAAAAGTGAAAAATAGTCATGAGTTTTCGCCCACCAAAGTCGAATTAATATGAAACTAGAACTGTCCAATAGGGACAAATACCCCCCGCTGGGTTTTTCAGAGAAGGTGCCAATTCAAAAAATACTTTATGGATGTAGATGTTCTTACTTACTTACATTTAATTTACTTACAAAAATTTGCAGTGAAATATAATTGCTCATCATGTTTCTTAATGAATGAAACAAAGGTGCAACCAAATGAAACATCAATATTAATTCATTGTAATTCCATTGTAACATTATTTTTTTTTTATTTAATTTTTTTATTTCTGCATTAAAAAATATATTGCAATTATGTTATGTCACTCTGCAAACTGATTGTTGAAAAAAATCATATTATACAAAATCAAATTAATCTTGATAACTTAATATCAAATTCATTTGAAAATAAAGAGCTAGTCATCCAGTAATGAAGTGCTTTGACAGACAATAAATTACAATTAAGAGAATAAGAGAAGAGAGATCTTTAATTCTTGTGCCTGATTCCCAGGAGATTACACATGGTTGATAATGAGATGCCTTAATGTTCAACTTCCCAAACCAAACTCATTAATTTATCTTTAACTGGATGCATGTCCAGTCATTATTCCCAAGAGATAAATAAAATGACATTATCTTCTGTGCAATGTAAAAACTGTTTTTAACACTTAATGATGTTTCTTTTTTTTAAAGTTTATATGAGTAGCTAGTTTTAAGCTGTAGTATTTTTGTACAGATATTCTAGATTCTATGTTTCAAACCTTATACATGAGCCCAAAATGAACAAGTCAATTAAAATAAAAAATAAAACCTGTAAAATGCAAAAAAATGAACAAAAAGAGTTGAAAATTCCAGTTGCACACCTTCATATGGTGAATAATAAGTGTACAAAATTTCAGATTAATCCTTGCAATAGTTTCTGAGAAACAGTCCGGACAAAACCACAAAATAACCAGAAGTCTCTGTCGAGACTGAAGCTCTACTGGTTTGTACTTATAGCAAAGGAAGAGAAAAGTACTTAAGCAGTTGGAAATTGAAACTTTTCAACAGCAATAAATAGAATAATGATCCTTGATTAAGTCTCTTTATGTTCTTAGTGCAGTCTACTTGCATGCCACATTTATATCATAATCAGACTAAAATTGTATTTGGAGTAGCATTTTGAAAGAATTTCACAGAAATGTCTATTTTTAGTAACCACGGCAACAATGTTCATCGAAATCAAAAACCGATACACAGAATTATGTATCTTATTGTAGTCTACTTGTGTGCCAAGTAATATTGAAATCAGACTAAAACTGTAGAAGGAGTAGCATTTTGAAAGAATTTCACAGAAATTTCTATTTTTAGTAAACACGGCAACACCGTTCATCAAAATCAAAAACTGATACACAGAATTATGTATCTTATTGTAGTCTACTTGTGTGCCAAGTTATATTTAAATGAGACTGAAACTGTAGAAGGAGTAGCATTTTGAAAGAATTTCACAGAAATTTCTATTTTTAGTAACCACGGCAACAACGTTCATCGAAATCAAAAACCGATACACAGAATTGTGTATTTTAGTGTAGTTTACTTGTGTGCCAAGTTATATTGAAATCAGACTAAAACTGTAGGAGGAGTAGCATTTTGAAAAAATTTCACAGAAATTTCTATTTTTAGTAACCACGGCAACACCGTTCAATGAAATCAAAAACCAATATACAAAATTATGTATCTTAGTGTAGTCTACTTGTGTGCCAAGTTATATTAAAATCATACCAAAACTGTAGGAGGAGTAGCATTTTGAAAAATTGTTTACAGACAGACAGACAGACAGACGGACGACGGACGCATTACTATCGCATAAGCTCTTCTGGTCTCTGACCAGTAGAGCTAAAAATGGAAAAACACCTGTAAAATTCAAAATAATAATTGAATCAAGATGAAAATAGCAGGTGCACAACTTCATATGGTGAATGATATTTGTACAAATTTTCTGACAAATCCTTCCAATAGTTTCTGAGTAATGTTCCGGACAAAATCTCGTCGACAGACAGACAGACAGACGGACAGACGGACATGGTGATTCCAATACACCCCCCCTAAACTTTGTTTGCGGGGGGTATAAAAATACACATATTTGGCTATAACTTCTTATTTCTGTGCGCGACACACCAATATACTCCCCCTACGGGGGGTATAAAAATACACATAGAAGTAAAACAAGTCAGGGGCAATGCTTTGTTAATTTTATTCATAAAAAGAGTAAGAGTCCTTTTACTCAAAATATATTTGCGAAATTGAATCAATGTACTCAGTTTTATACATAATATGTTTTATTCCATACAATGGGGAGGTATATCAAAGACAAAAGATCCAGCTGTATTATGTAAATAAAAATCTTCAATGATGGCACAACCTACTCTACTGCTTCATGTTCTTCACAGATTTAAAGTTTTTTTGAAATATTTTTTTTTTCAAATAAGCCTTTTGCAGCACTTTTCCGATTGTAATTGTCTCATGTGGATGAAAAATGTGCCTTTTCAGTATGCTTATTATTCCATATTTTGACATCATTTTAGAAGTTATTATATCATAAACATTACAAAGTCGCGTCACTAAATGTGCATATTTTGCTGATCGTTCTAATGATATAAAACTGAATAATTTATGTGAAATGGATCCATTTCTATTAAACAGTTCTCAGAACTTTTAAAATGCCACACTCGTACCAATTTTGTAAATATCCAATATGCACATGCATCCATAAATTTCATAACAATGTCATCCTGTGCACGCTTGGGTCAAAGTCTAATTTATGTTAATACAGATAATGTCAAAAATAATTTCAATTTTTTTTTTTTTTTTTTTTTGATTTTGTGATTAAAGATTGAAAATTGTGATATCCATTAATTTATTTTCTTCTTTTATAAGTCTTTTGAGACACCACACATTAACAGGTATATCATTGATGTTAATTCTCATGTCAAATGACTGACTGTATACACTTTGTTTTATATGTTATCATCTGTATGTGTCTTTATGTGATTCTTTAAGACATCTAATCTGCTAAATGTCTGTCCACAAACATCACATCCATATGGTTTCTCTCCAGTGTGTATCCTCATGTGTCTATCTTTGGTACCTGAATGGTTAAATGCTTTCCCACACACATCACATGTATAAGGTTTTTCACCAGTATGTGTCCTCATGTGTCTCTGTAAGTTGGTTGACTGAGTGTATGTCAATTCACACACATTACATTTATAAAGTTTAATATCACCTGTATGTATCCTCATGTGTTTTTTTAAGTCACTTGACTGCTTGTATGCCTTCCCACACACATCACATTTATAGGGTGTTTCACCTGTATGTGACCTTATGTGAATTTTTAGATTATTTGATCTGCTGAATGCCTTTCCACATACGACACATCTGTAAGGTTTTTCACCTGTATGTATCATCATATGGTCCTTTAAGGCTCCAGCTTCCTTGAAAGCTCTTTCACACACATTACATTTATAAGGTTTATCATCTGTGTGTGTCCTCACATGTCTCTGTAAGTTAGATGACTGATTGAATGCCTTCCAACACTTATGGCATTTATAAGGTTTATCACCAGTATGTATTCTCATGTGATTCAGTAAATTTCCTGGCCAGTTGAATTCCTTTCCACACACATCACATTTATACGATTTATCAGCTGTATGTATCCTCATATGCTTCTTTAAACTATTAAATTGATTGAAGGGTTTATCACACAAATCACATTTATAGAGTGTATTATCTGCTTGTGTCCTCTTTTTTCTCTGTAAGGCACTTGAACGGTTCAACTTTTTTTCACATGCATTACAATAATAAGGTTCAATACCAGTTTGTGTCCTGATGCATTTATAAATGACATCTGATACAGAGAATGCCTTCCCACAAAATTCACATTTTAAAATTTTCTTCCGGGATTGAGACCTTATTTGTCTATGTATGTGACTTGAACTAGTTGAAGGTTTCCTATTGATACATATCCGAGGCTGTTTACTTACACGTGTGTTGTTGTGTCTTTCTAAACTTCCAGTTTGATCTTCATCTGAACAATAGTTCTGTAATTCTTCAGTATCTATCTGAATATTTGAATGGGATTCAAAATCTCCGCCTTCCTTCTACAAAAATGACAAAGAAATCAGTTTCACTGCACCACAGGGCGCACTGTTCTGATTATATCTAGTGTAAGGATAACTAGAGGTACTGTGAGCAATTACTCACTAAATGATATGCGCGCGCGCGCGCGCGCGCGCGCGCGCGCGCGCGCGCGCGCGCGCGCGCGCGCGCGCGCGCGCGCGCGCGCGCGCGCGCGCGCGCGCGCGCGCGCGCGCGCGCGCGCGCGCGCGCGCGCGCGCGCGCGCGCGCGCGCGCGCGCGCGCGCGCGCGCGCGCGCGCGCGCGCGCGCGCGCGCGCGCGCGCGCGCGCGCGCGCGCGCGCGCGCGCGCGCGCGCGCGCGCGCGCGCGCGCGCGCGCGCGCGCGCGCGCGCGCGCGCGCGCGCGCGCGCGCGCGCGCGCGCGCGCGCGCGCGCGCGCGCGCGCGCGCGCGCGCGCGCGCGCGCGCGCGCGCGCGCGCGCGCGCGCGCGCGCGCGCGCGCGCGCGCGCGCGCGCGCGCGCGCGCGCGCGCCGCGCGCGCGCGCGCGCGCGCGCGCGCGCGCGCGCGCGCGCGCGCGCGCGCGCGCGCGCGCGCGCGCGCGCGCGCGCGCGCGCGCGCGCGCGCGCGCGCGCGCGCGCGCGCGCGCGCGCGCGCGCGCGCGCGCGCGCGCGCGCGCGCGCGCGCGCGCGCGCGCGCGCGCGCGCGCGCCGCGCGCGCGCGCGCGCGCGCGCGCGCGCGCGCGCGCCCCCCCCCCCCCCCCGCCTCCGCATAATGTCCATGTGCTGCTATATATTGTTTCATGGTAATGTGTAAAGAGAAATAACTCATCCTATCAAATGTTATCCAGAAGTTTCTATAATGTGACGTCATAGGTAAAATATAATTGCAATGTCCATGTTTTGCTGTGGGAAACCTAAAATATGTGTCAAATAAAAAAGTAAAATAGGAGGTGCACAATGGCAATATGTAATAAAGATTCTGTGAAAGTTTCATTAAATTTCACTCACTAGTATAAGAGGATTTGCGGTTAAGAGATAAAGCATAACAGACGGAAGGACGGACGAAATCCCGATTACTATATACCCTCCCACTTTTCAAGCAGGGGGTATAAAAAGTTAAACACCTAAACATTAACTTTAAGAACTGGGTCAAAGAGCAAGGGTCAGTAAGAACTCTTTTGACCTAGTGAATTTTCGAAAATAAAAACTATCTAGTTTGGGTTGAAAATATCAATTCATTACTTGGAACCTTTGTGACCATTTATCTGTAAAACATGACGTAATTTTTTCCTTGATCAATGCTTTACGGTATGTGTCTTAATGTTTCTATGTAAAACAAACTCAACTTCAGAGGTACTGTGAGCAATAAACTCACTAAAATATACCCCATGCCTCCAAAATGAATACTAGAGGTACTGTGAGCAATGAGCTCACTAAATGATACCCCCTGCATCCTATATGAATATAACTGGAGCATCCATGTTTTACTATGGGAAACCCAAGTATGTGTTGGATCAAAAGGTAAAATAGGAGGTGCACAATAGCAATTTGTAATGAAGATTCTGTAAAAGTTTCATCAAATTTCATTCAGTGGTTTGAAACGAGCTGTGGATAAGAGATGGGTACCCCAAAGCACAACAGACCAAGGGAGAGATGTACAGACGGAAATACCAATTACTATTTACCCTCCCTCTTTTAAAACAATGTGGATAGCAGCTGTATGCTATAACAAGAGGCCCATGGGCCTTATACGTCACCTGAGCATCATGCAAGTGATGCAACAACTTTCAAATTTATAAAATTTGGTTCACGTTTTCAGCTAGATGCCATGATAGTCACAATTTTGAAAGAAGCACCATTACTAATCATAAGTTTACACTTAGCAATTGCTTAGAGTGGTTACTTAATACCATTAGACAGGGTAGGGGAACAAAAGATGCATTTGAACTTATCAGTAATATTGAGCAATAATCAGTAGTGCCCCTACTACACATGAACACCTGACCCTAGGTCCACATATTCAGAAATTTTGAAAAGGCACACTTGCTTATCAAAAGTGTTTGATTTATACGAAGAAGATGTCAAACAATTCATTTTCAGTATATAAGTAGACCCACCCACCCTCTCTCTATGGTATCCCTGACCCAGGGACCTTGATATTCACAATTCTGGAAGAAGAGCCATTGCACATCACAACTGTATAGTTCATTTGCTTTTTACCTACGAGCAGAGAAGCTTTTCAAAGATGAAAATAATGTATTTTCACTTTATAATCATTATAGAGCCCTGCCCTAACACCAGACCCCCGACCCTAGGAAATTTCAACATAGAGACAGAAATTTCAGGCCATAAATTTTACAATTTTGGAAGAGGCCCTCTTGCTCATTAAAACTATGTAAATAGTTGGTTTACAGTAAATGTATTACATTCAGCGTGTAGGATATTTGGCAGAAATTCAATTTTCAACATGTTATCCTAGATTTGATTTAGCGCTGTCTGAATGTGCTAGTTATGAATGTTAATATACAAGACATTTAGCAATGTACTTGAATTCAAGTTCATAAAATTCACAATTTTGGTTGAGGCACTCTTGCTCATCATAACTATGAGTATGAACTTAATTAGTTTATTTGATAACCAGGAGCAAAGAAGATTTTCAAAGAAATAATTCATTTTCACTATCTAATCAATATAGCCCCACACTAGCTCTAGAACCCCTGACCCTGGGGCCACGAAATTTCACAATTTTGGTTGAGGACTCAATGCTCAATACTTTTATGCCAAAAGTTTGACTGCTTGGTGTCCAGGAGTAAAGAAGAAGATTTTTAAAGATTTCATAAATTTCAATGGTTTTGGTCCCACTCCCACCCCTCAAGCCCCAGGAGGGTGGGGACCATAAAACTCACAACTTGGTTTCCCCGTCACCCAAAGATGCTGTATACCAAATTTGGTTGATTTGGTTCATTACTTTCAAAGAAGAAGCTGAAAATGTTCAAATGTTTACACACGACATACAACAACGGACAAAAACGGATAGCAATAGGTCACATAAATTAATGACTCAGGTGACGTAAAAATACTTAGGCTATGAGTATGACAAACTATTACATAAGTTATTGCATTTCAAAATTATGGAAGCCCATTTAAGATCTGTCAATAAATATTTTTAATTCCTATATACATAGTTTATAGATTTTTCAAATTTTTTATAACTAGAACTGTCCAAACAGGACTAAATACCCCCCGCTGGGTTTTTCAGAAGTAAGTTTTTCCATAATAAAGATATGCATCATACATGAATTATGAAATTTTTCTTCCAGTGACCTTGAAGTTTCCAAAATGACCTTGGGTCAAGGTTATTATGCACCCTTGGGTCATAGACAATCTTTGTGTGAAATGAGAACCTACCAAGTTTATCCATAAGAAAGATATGGACTGGTCACTAATTATGAAATTTTTCTTCCAGTGACCTTGAAGTTCCCCAAATGACCTTGGGTTAAGGTCATGATACACCCTTAGGTCATGGGCAATCTTTGTGTGGAGTAGTAGATTCTAATGTCCCTTCTTGAAAAAGACATGGACCGGACACGTTTGCACAGACAGACGGACAGCTAGACGGACAGACGGAAAAGGTGATTCCTATATACCCCCCCAAACTTCGTTTGTAGGGGGTATAATAACAGACTTAAATGGTTGAAAAATATTTTGAATCTGATTAAACAAATTAATGGGTCCCGACCCTCTGCTATAAATTTCACTAAGAAAATTTAAAATGTCTGATATTGATTTTTCATGAACAACAATATTAGAGCCACATGGAAAATAGTTTGAAGTAAGCATGGTAAGCGCAGCTTATTTTTTCAGAAATAATTTTTATGCCAGACCAAGAGCTGAGGAAATTTCAACATAGAGACACAAAGAGTAAAGATTTATTATCATAACATTGATTTTATAATATGAGGTATATATGAAAATAATACTTAGTATCATACCTTTTGAAATAATGTTAGAAAAAATCATGAAGGGATGCTTCGTAATTCAGAAATTACAATGTTGTATGTGGTTGTAAAGAAAAAAAATGCATCTGTGAGGAGTAGTTATATCTTTCCTATTAATATTTCTTCAAGTGAAGAAAATGTCATAGTAATAAAAATTCTGCAATAAGTACTTAAAACCAATTTAAAATAGTCCTTAAAAAATAACAACTTATCAATTTTAAATGATAAATTGTTAAATAAAATAAAACAATTAGAAAGAAATTTGCAAAAGAAATAGAAAGTAATGGTTCCATCATAAGTTACTGTATTTCATCAAATTTACTACTCATAGGTCTCAATTAAGAAACACTGATTAAGTAATCTGTGAGTAGTATTCATATTTTGTACTTATAAACTTATCAGAGGGTTGATACCCCTTAATCTGTTGACTTGTGGCAAATTCAAAAATTCAATATATCTGATTAAAAAAATATTTCAGCGGTCTTAAATGAGCTTCCATTTTATATAGAATTTCAATTAAAATTAGTGATGGGGAATTGGGAAAAAATCAGAATCGATTATCAGTAACAAGAGGCCCAGGGGCCACAGCGCTCACCTGAGCACATTGGGCTTGAATTTACTCCCCCCCCCCCCCTCCAGCCGTTCATCATTTGAACAAACTAGAATCTACACTACCTGAGGATGATTCCGTATAAATATCACTAATCATAGCTTTGAAGTACTTGAAAAAAAGATTTTTAAAGGTTTCCCTATATATCCCTATGTAAAACTTGGGTTGGCCATTTTGGACCCACCCTTACCCCGGGGGTCATGATTTGAACAAATTTGAATCTACACTACCTGAGGATGATTCCATATGAGTTTCATCTTTCCTTGCCCAGTGGTTCTTGAGAAGAAGATTTTTAAAGATTTTCCTATATCTTCCTATGTAAAACTTGGGTCGGCCATTTTGGCCCCACCTTTGCCCCGGGGGTCATGATTTGAACAAATTTGAATCTACACTACCTGAGGATGATTCCACATGAGT